AATAAATAATACATTCACACATATACACACATACAACGCACATATACACAGACTGGGCCACAGCAACGCATGGCAAGGGACAGCATATGCTGTGGCCCAGTCTGTATATATATATAAGCTGTCCCTTGCCACACGTTGCTGTGGCCCAGTCTATGTATATGTGCTTTGTGTGTGTATATATGTGTGAATGTATTATTTATTGGGGGTGGGTGGGTGTGTGGGTGGGTTTAAGTCCCTTCTGTTGTGTTTTTCCATGTTTTTATGACTGATGGACACTCGTTGGCCTGATAGGTGTCTTGTGTCCTAATCTGGTGTCAATTCGCCCAGTGGTTTTTGAGTTATGTTAATCCCACAACAACAGCAACAACAACAACAGCAACAACAAAACTTTATTTATATACCGCTCTATCTCCCCAAGGGGACTCAGAGCGGTTTCCCAGTAACATAAACAGTACATACAAGAAAAAAATGGCATAAACATAAAATTTACAAATGAACATTACATACACACACACACATACAATTGCAAGCACACTACTTGAATATAATGACCAGATGCCACTCGGATCCAGTCGCCACAAGCAAATTCTGTGTATATACACACACACACACATACAACACACACACAATTGCAAGCATACTACTTGAATATAATGACCAGATGCCACTTGGATCCAGTCGCCACAAGGAAATTGAATTATTTCACTAGTTTGGATGCATTCACGATTATTGCATCAACTACACATATACTTGATGCCTGGAGATTGAAAGAAGCGGATTGCAATCTATGCACGCTCCCTCTGCAATAAATAAATATATAACAATAACAGTAAATAAAAAAAATAAAGGCTATTACTTATGCCAAGGGCAATAACATCCTAATTGGAGACACCTCTCCGAAGGTTCAAGAAAAGGTTAACAATTAGAAAACTATGGCATTTTTCGCTTTGGTTGCATCCAGCGCCAGAATGGGGTCCAAAAGAAAACTCTCCAAAGTTGAAGATGTCTGTCTTAAATGTGCAATAACTGAAATGTGTAATAACACTTTCTCTTATGTGACTCACTTATGTTCCTTTGCTCACTTACCAGAGGGCCTGGTCTCCCAGTCAGTCCCATTGGGCCAGCTGGTCCTCTCAGTGCCAGCTAGAGAGAGAGAGAGAGAGAGAGAGAGAGAGAGAGAGAGAGATTGAGTGAGACAACAACACAAACAAAGTGAAAATAAATATGTGTGTATATGGCTGGGATATTCACTTACACCAGTGGTTCTCAACCTTCCTAATGCTGCAACCCCTTAATACAGTTCCTCATGTTGCAGTGACCCCCAACCATAACCCTAACATTATGAATCACCATGTAAATAATGATCTGCAAGATGTATTTTCATTCACTGAAGCAAATTTGGCACAAATACTCCGTCTACTGGTGGGGTTGGCGGAGGGAGAGAAATTACACTGCTTAGCCGGTATTGCACCACCTGACCTCTGCCGGGAAGGAGCAGCCAATAGTGAAAGGACCAAGGCAGTGACATCTCCAGCTCATCCCCTGTTTGGGTATCAGCTAGCAAGTCAACGACTGAAATCTAGAAATAGTTTTCTAAGATCTACAGAGACACTCGCTGAAACACCTCAGCAAGCGAGAGCCCAAAAGTGGCAGGCTCAAACCCAGAGCTTCAATCAATGGCTGATACCAAATGAGAGACTCCCCCCTGGGCACACAGAAGACTTGGTGACTTGGAAGGCGCTGAACAGACTGCGCTCTGGCACCACGCGATGCAGAGCCAATCTCAAGGAATGGGGCCACAAAGTGGAATCCACGACATGCGAGTGTGGAGATGAGCAAACCACTGACCACCTGCTGCAATGCACCCTGAGCCCAGCCACATGCACAATGGAGGACCTTCTCACAGCAACACCAGAGGCACTCTATGATGGCGCGAGTGGTGCCACCTTTGTGTAGAACTGTTAGTTGCAACATTTAAACTGTTGTACCATGCTTTGCCTTTTTACCCTATTTATGTATAGTTGATTGATTGGTTACTTATAGCTGTCAATCAATATTGTTTGCACCAGTTGAATTGCCCTTTCAGCTCAATTGTTTGGCCCCACCTCTTCCTGAAGGAGGGGAGTGCTTTCCTTTTTCATTCTGCCATCAGAGTTTCTATCAGATGGATGTGAGTAAGAGACTTGGCTCTAATAGCTCCTGATTAAATTACCTCTCAGCACCAATTCTAAGGTATTTACCCTTGGGACTCCAGATCATCCTGGACAACATTGAGGAGACCCAAGCGCCTTCAAACTGGTTCTTTTGGCACCAGAGGAAGATCCTGAGTCTTCAAACATAGGCCATTTGAACTGGGGTTGTGGATTGCTCCGGCATTCACAGCCATTGAGGAAAGAGGAAACTTGGAAAAGCTTCTCAGCTTTAAACTCCTTGGACCCAGGACTAACTGAGACTGTAACGTATATTTTCTTTCACCCCTCTGAAGTTTCCAGCTCATTGCTTTAAAGAAATAACTCTTTGTGATCAATAAATCTTATTTTGAGTTATCTGCAGTGTTTGGGTCTTTGGGAGTTCCAGTTTCCTAAAGGAGGGCAAGAAGCAATCCCCTGGGGAAAGATGTCACGTCCATGCCTCTTTCACGAAGAGCTATATTCTGTCTCCCATGCTTTTTAATATCTACATGAAACCGCTGGGAGAGGTCATCCGGAGTTTTGGAGTTAGGTGCCACCTCTACGCAGATGACACACAACTCTACTACTCATTTCCACCCAATTCCAAGGAGGCCTCTCGGGTGCTGGACGAGTGCCTGGCCGCTGTGTCTATCTGGATGAGGAGGAACAAGCTGAAGATCAATCCTGACAAGACAGAGGTCCTTCTGGTCGATCGCAAACCTGATTGGGGTATAGGGTGGCAACCTGTGTTGGACTCCCCCTGAAACCACAGGTCCGCAGTCTGGGAGTCCTCCTGGACTCATCGCTTACGCTTGAGGCTCAGGCGTCAGCGGTGTCTGGGAGGGCCTTTCGCACAATTGAGACTCGTGCTCCAACTGCGACCGTACCTCGTGAAGGCTGATCTGGCCGGGGTGGTCCATGCCTTGGTCACCTCTAGATTGGATTACTGTAATGCGCTCTACGTGGGGCTGCCCTTGAAAACGGCTCGGAAATTCCAACTGGTCCAACGAGCAGCAGCCAGGATGTTAACTGGTGCTCCTTACAGAGAGAGGTCAACCCTCCTGTTCAAGGAGCTCCACTGGCTGCCGTTTATCTTCCAAGCCCAATTTAAGGTGCAGGTGCTTACCTACAAAGCCCTGAACGGTTTGGGACCAGCCTACCTGCGTGATCGCATCTCCGTCTACGAACCCACGTGCTCCCTTCGTTCATCTGGAGAGGCCCTGCTCGTGATCCCGCCTGCGTCACAAGCGCGTTTGGTGGGGACACAAGACAGGGCCTTTTCCGTGGTGGCCCCCCGACTCTGGAACACCCTCCCCAAAGATCTTAGACAGGCCCCTACATTGGCAGTCTTCAGAAAGAACTTGAAGACCTGGCTGTTCCGATGTGCCTTCCCTGAATAGGAAACCTCCAATACCAAGTCCCAGAAGCACTTTATTATAGCTAAGACAGCTGCACACCGCACACTGCACTTGCCCATAAGCCTCATATTCCACCCGTCACATCAGCACTTTTAACTCTTGTACCCTTACTCTGGCCACGGCCCAGTTTTATCATGTCTTAGTGGATTGTCCATTGTTTGTTGTTATTTAGACTGCTTTATTGTTTATGTATTGTTGTATTGTGTGTTAAGGCCTCGGCCTTTGTAAGCCGCATCGAGTCCTTCGGGAGATGCTAGCGGGGTACAAATATAGTTTAATAATAATAATAATAATAATAATAATAATAGCCCCCAGGCGCGACGGCACACACTCCAAGTGGCCAGCTACTGCTCAAAGGACGTTTAATCAACTACCAACTTTGCAAACTTTGTATTTTGTCTGTTTGTCTGTTTGTTTTTGTTAAAAACGTAATACAAATGTCTCTTTGCTGATGACAGATAAATAAATAAATTCCTGCCACGTACCCAGAAGCCAGCGTTGGCAGTGCAGAAAGAACCAGGACCCTGTAATTACTATTTATACCTTTACACGGGGATCAAGCATTCGACTTTAAGATGTCACCATCTTGTCTTTAAAAAACCCTGCACACTAATTAAAAAGCCATGTCGTGAACGTGGAGTCAATAAATCTCTGGGCAGGTAATGGGGCTCTCCATACTCTAGGACACACATTTGCTCCATCCCACAAATCCAATAGCTTTAAAGAACCTGTAATTATTGGCATCCGCCATTTAATTAAAACCCGCCCGGGTTGGTCGTTGCGACGGCCCGGCCAACGTTGCAGAAATGCCGGATTATTTACTGAACTGGTCTTCGAGATGTCCCCAATTAAAAAGGGTGGCGGAAAAAAAATACATTATTGCTTTGGTCTCGAGAGCAATAGCGGCGGTACGACGGAGAACGTGATTTTTCTTTCGGAAAGGCTATTAGCTGGAATCGGCAGGATTTGCTTTCCAATCTGAAGCACTTGCTTAGATTTAAGCACATACCGATCTCTGGGAATGTATGGAGCAGAGATTACTCATAGGCTCTATGAATATGGATCGGCACACTGAGGATATATCTGCACCATGCCCATAAAGCAGTTTGATATCACTTGCACCGCCACGGCTCCGTTCTCAAAAAATCCTGGGATTTATGGGTCGGCGAGGCACTTAGCCTCCTCTGCTGTGGGAGCTCAAGCAGTGGAGGATGTACTCTGATTGCATTGGGAATCTCTGCTGTTACCGCTGATGAAAAATGAGAGCAGCTTTCCATTGGGAAAGGCAGAAAAATGAGGGAAAATATCTCCATCCTGGGATATGGAGTTTGGAGAAGGTGAGGAGCTCGATTGCAAAGCCCTCGATCCAACATATGATAGGAAATGTGGGCTTCCTCTGGACCATTTCGGGAACCGAAACCATTGAGACAATGATGCTGGGGGAAATGGAAGGAAAAAGGAAGAGGGGCCGACCAAGGGCAAGATGGATGGATGGCATCCTTGAAGTGACGGGATTGACCTTGAAGGAGCTGGGGGTGGTAATGGTCGACAGGGAGCTCTGGCGTGGGCTGGTCCATGAGGTCATGAAGAGTCGGAAGCAACTGAACGGAAGGAAAAAGGAAGAGGGGGCGACCAGGGGCAAGATGGATGGATGATGGCATCCTTGAAGTGACTGGCTTGACCTTGAAGGAGCTGGGGGTGGTAATGGTCGACAGGGAGCTCTGGCGTGGGCAGACAATCATGCTGGGGAAAAAGGAAGGAAAAAGGAAGAGGGGCCGACCAAGGGCAAGTTGGATGGATGGCATCCTTGAAGTGACTGGCTTGACCTTGAAGGAGCTGGGGGTGGTGACGGTCAACAGGGAGCTCTGGCGTGGGCTGGTTCATGAGGTCACGAAGAGTCGGAAGCAACTGAACGAATGAACATTGAGACAAATTAATTGGGGAAGTTGGATTCATTCAAGATCCTTCACAGGTCAAAGGGATACGGTCAAAGGACCAAATGTCTTGATCTTGTTGTTGTTATTTGTTTAGTTGCTTCCGGCTCTTGGTGACCTCATGACCAGCCCATGCCAGAGCTCCCTGTTGACCGTCACCACCCCCAGCTCCTTCAAGGTCAAGCTAATCACTTCAAGGACACCATCCATCCATCTTTTCCTTCATTAGCCCCTCTTCCTTTTTCCTTCCATTTTCCGCAGCATCATTGTCTTCTCCAAGCTTTCCTGTCTTCTCCTTCCTGTCTTGATTTTAAGGAAGCAGAAGTCCCTAGGACCTCTGTGGGCCAAACTGGGCCTTGAGCTTTCTTGCTTGTTTACTTATTTGGCGTATTGATCATCTATCCTTCAGCTCAAAGGGCTCCCAGATCATAAATTCAATGTTTCCTTGTTCTTCAGTTTATGTTCTAAGACGGGACTCAGAAAGAAAAGGACGTGGCAGTAGGGGAGGGGGTTAAGTCCAGCCAGCTTTGGCCGCTCTTCTCTCCCTCAGAGGCATGGGCAGTGACAGTTGAGTTCGATGGAGAGCTTTTCAACTTTTGTGAGTCAAATTGTGGTGGAGTTCTGCAGCTGCTCTTCTCTCCCTCACAGGACAGGGCAGTGACAATTGGGATGGATAAAGAGCTTCCCAACAGTTGTTAGTCAAGGCATGCAGCCACTCTCCCTCACAGGACAGGGCAGTGGCTGTTGGGATTGATGGGTAGCTGGTTGTGAGTCAAGGCATGGCGGAGCTCTGCCAGCTGCTCTTCACTCCCACACACAAGAGAGCAGTGGGAGTTGGGATAGACCGAGGGCTTCCCAACAGTTGTGAGTCAAGGCATGGTTGAGCTGTGCAGCCGCTCTTTTCTTCCTCACAGGACAGGGCAGTGGCAGTTGGGATGGATGGAGAGCTTATCAACAGTTGTTAGTCAAGGCATGGTTGAGCTATGCAACCACTCTTTTCTCCCACACAGGACAGGGCAGTGGCAGTTGGGATAGATGGAGAGTTTTTCAACAGTTGTGAGTCAAGGCATGGTTGAGCTGTGCCAGCTGCTCTCCTCTCCCTAACAGGACAGGGCAGTGCCAGTTGGGATGGATGGAGAGCTTCCCAACAGTTGTGAGTGAAGGCATGGTTGAGCTGTGCAACCGCTCTCCTCTCCCTCACAGGACAGGGCAGTGGCAGTTGGGATGGATGTAGGTTTTCTCAATGGTTGCAAACAAAGGTGTGGTAGAGCTAATTCTGGTTGTTCATCTCAGCTTTGGCCAGCTCATTGGTAGCTTAGGTACCCCAAGACACTGGGCCACCAGTTGGACAACCCCAGTGGATCAGATGAGTCTTTCGGGACCCTCAACCTAACATCAAATGCCAGAAGGAAATAGAGAGGTGCCATGGTCCATGAAGAAGACATCAGCAATGACTTACCCTAGCCTGTTGTAGGATAGCTTGGGCCTGAGATTCTTGAGCAGACACCATGGGGCCCTTGGATCCACCGTCTCCTCCTCCGCTGAACCGGAACTATGGGGGAAACAAGATATCGACCCATCAAATACATGTTTCTAAACACCACCAACATGCAAACGTACAGAGAAGGCTAGAATGATGCTCTGGGAGACCATCTCTCCTGAAGACAGCATTTGAACCAGTATTGCTAAAGACAAGATGCGAGACTATTTGATATCCCATCGTCTTGACTGACTGCTACATTCTGTGGCAACGAAACCCACAAACAGACTGTTGGAATATTGGAGGGGGAAAAAAAATATTTCCTTCGGGGAGTCCTAAACCTCCTGCCTATCCATTTTGTTGAGTTCTGGTATTACAGGCGTATTGATTTTTCTTATGATAGCCTCTAGTGAGAAAACAATGCCTCTGCCTCAGCGGGCTTTGATCTATAAGCCCCACAGAGTCTTCCCGCAGCTAGATATGCTGTATATTTCGCCTTGAGGTATTTAAGAGCACACCGAAGAAACCGACAGGCAAGCAATGAGTGTGAAAGATGACATTTTTGGGGAGCACGTGATGGGCCCACCAGAATGCCTTGATGTTTGGAGATGAAGGAACATCCCCGTAGAGGTGAAGCCAGGCTAGACGGGAAATACTGAGAGATGATATATCTTATTTCTCAGCTTTCGAAATGTCTTCCTTTGAGTTTTACCCATTGGCAATCTTTTCATCCATGCATCCTACTCTAGAGTAAGAGGCGCTCAGCTACAGGCACTGGCAGGTGCACGTGCGTCTGCAGATGAGTGCCACCTACTCTAGAGTAAGAGGTGCACAGCTGCAGGCACTGGCAGGCGCACAAGCGTCTGCAGCTGAGTGGCACCTACTCTAGAGTAAGAGGTGCTCAGCTACAGGCACTGGCAGGCGCACGTGTGTCTGCAGCTGAGTGCCACCTACTGTAGAGTAAGAGGCACTCAGCTACAGGCACTGGCAGGCACACATGCGTCTGCAGCTGAGTGCCACCTACTCTAGAGTAAGAGGCACTCAGCTACAGGCACTGGCAGGCACACATGCGTCTGCAGCTGAGTGCCACCTACTGTAGAGTAAGAGGCACTCAGCTACAGGCACTGGCAGGCACACATGCGTCTGCAGCTGAGTGCCACCTACTCTAGAGTAAGAGGCACTCAGCTACAGGCACTGGCAGGCACACATGCGTCTGCAGCTGAGTGCCACCTACTGTAGAGTAAGAGGCACTCAGCTACAGGCACTGGCAGGCGCACGAGCGTCTGCAGCTGAGTGCCACCTACGCTAGAGTAAGAGGCGCTCAGCTACAGGCACTGGCAGGCATACATGTGGTGTGGCATGCAGGCCCAGAAAGTGTGCGTGCCTGCAGTGCCTTGCAGCCTAGCACCTAGAAAAAGAGGTGCTCAGCTGCAGGCACTGGCAGGTGCATGCGCTTTTTGGGCCTGCACACCACACATGCACCCTTTCCCCAAGGAAAGTGTGTGCATGGTGTGACGTGCAGGCCCAAAAAGTGTGCGCGCCTGCAGTGCCTTGCAGCCTAGTGCCTCTTACTCTAGAAAAAGAGGCACTCAGCTGCAGGCATGGGCAGGCGCACACACTTTTTGGACTTGCACACCACACATGCACCCTTTTTATTATACTATATTCGCTACTCTGTATTTGCAAAAGCGTGCTCAAAAAGCCATGTCTTAAGTTTTTTTTGAAATGTTAACAGGCAAGAAGCTCTTCTGATATCCCTGGGGAGGGTGTTCCATAACCAAGGGGCCACCACCGAGAAGGCCCTGTCTCTCGTCCCTGCCAGATGTACTTGTGACGAGAACATAGCCTCCCTGGATGATCTTAAAGTCCTCGATGGTTCATAAGGGGAGATGTGTTCGGACAGGTAAGTTGGGCCAGAATTGTTTAGGGCTTTATAGGCCAAAGCCAGCTATTTGAATTGTGCCCAGTAGCAAACTGGCAGCCAGTGGAGCTGGTGCAGCAGGGGAATTGTATGCTCCCTGAGAGCTGCTCCTGTTACCAACTTGGCTGCCGTTCCTTGGACCATTTGAAGCTTTTGGACAGTCTTCAAAGGCAACCCCACGTAGAGTGTGTTGCAGTAGTCTATACGGGATTTAAACAGAGGGACCAGTTGAAGCTGGTCCATCACACCACATACTCTCTCTCCTTGGAAAGAGAGTGCGTGTGGGGCATGAAGCCCCAGAAAGCATGCATGCCTGCCAGTGCCTGCAGCCAAACACCTTCTCTAGAGTAGAAACAATAGGTAAGAAAAAGCCTCCTTAAAGCGCATGCTGGGAAGGGTAGCTTGGGTGGGATCCCCTTCTCCCCCTTCCCCACAATGGTCCAACAGAAAATGGATCTTTCAGGGCCCTAGAGCGAAAACAGATATCTGCCCTCCCTCCTAAAAAACAGATCAGGACCGCCACTGAAAGCCAGGACATGAAACGGATCAAGGTTTACCCCAAATGCACAACCCTACTAGGAACCAGATACTTACTGGAAGCATAAGCATGGTCCCAGGAGGTCCAGGCAAACCATCTGCTCCGGGAAGCCCTGCCCGTCCAGGAGGACCCTTCAGAAAGGAATAGAAGAAGAAGAAGATGTTGAACTTTGGACAGAGCTCTTTCCAGTTTATCAACAGTCAGAAGGATGAGTCAACGCAATGGAATTCAGAGTCGACCAACACTCTGTCCTCTTCTCATCTTTTAGAATCAGAGAATTGTGGAGATGGGTTGGACCGGAAACCTCTGCAAATTAGAGATAGAAAACGCTTTTGATAAAGTAAATAGCCGTTCTGCCCCTTTCGAGAAAAGGAATAGAATCTGTCTCAAGAATGTGCAAATTTGCAAGGACTATAAGAAATAACACGAATATGGAAGAAGGAACATATTTCAAAATTCAGACAACTCAAAATGGTTACTTTTGGAAATAAATGCATTCTGGGATATATATATATATATATATATATATATATATATATATATATACACACACACACACACACACACACATATTAGCCACCTCCTGCCATGTGCTGCTGTGACCCACACTGCGTATATATAACTTGTGTTTGTGTATATATGTGTATATATGTGTGTTTGTGTACATATGCAGTTTTGCGCATGCATTGTAATGTATTTTTTTTTGTTTCTGGGCTTTTAAAGTCTCTTCTGCTGTGTTTTTCAGTGTTTTTATGAGTGATGGTCACTCGTTGACCTGATCAGTGTATTGTGTCCTAATTTGGTGTCAATTCGTCCAGTGGCTTTTGAGTTATGTTAATTCCAGAAACGAATATTACACTCACACACATATATGATGACTTATTCATATGCAAACTCTTCGAAGACAGTGAGCCCTGGCAGTTTAAGTAGTGTCAAACTGGGTTAACTCCATAATGTAGATGAGCCAAAAACTCAAGGAGGAGAAAATTTCGTTGGGATTCAGAGAAACGCAATAACGTTTCAAAAGCTTTAAAGACAGAGGTGGACATACTAACCTTTGCTTCTCCCCAAAATTAACCATAATTTTACAATATATCCATTACAACCCAAATATAGCAGTTATCAAATCACCAATTAACAATTGGGACTGACGGATAAATAAAAATGATATTGTATTGTCGAAGGCTTTCATGGCCGAAATCACTGGGTTGTTGTAGGTTTTTTCGGGCTATATGGCCATGGTCTGGAGGTATTCTCTCCTGACGTTTTGCCTGCATCTATGGCAGCGTTTCTCAACCTGGGGGTCGGGATCCCTGTGGGGGTCGCGAGGGGGTGTCAGAGGGGTCGCCAAAGACCATCAGAAAATACAGAATTTTCTGTTGGTCATGGGGGCTCTGTGTGGGAAGTTTGGTCCAATTCTATTGTTGGTGGGGTTCTGAATGTTATTTCATTGTGGGCAAACTATAAATCTCAGTAACTACGACTCCCAAATGTCAAGGTCTATTTTCCTCAAAGTCATCCAGTGTTCACATTTGGGCATACTGAGTATCCGTGCCAAGTTTGGTCTAGATCCATCATTGTTTGAGTCCACAGTGCTCTCTGGATGGAGGTGAACTACAACTCTAAAAACCCAAGGTCAATGTCCACCAGACCCTCCCAGTATTTTCTCTTGGTCATGGGAGTTCTGTGTGCCAAGTTTGGTTCAATTCCATTGTCGGTGGTGTTCAGATCTGCTGGGATTTATAGTTCACCTACAATCAAAGAGCATTCTGAACTTTATCAGTTGAATGGAATTGAACCAAACTTGGTACACAGAACTCCCATGACCATCGGAAAATACTGGAAGGGTTTGGTGGGTACTGACCTTGAGTTTAGGAGTTGTAGTTCACCTACATCGAGAGCACTGTGGACTCAAACAATGATGGATTTGGACCAAACTTGGCACAAACACTCAATATGCCCAAATTTGAATACTGGTGGGGTGGGGGGGGGGAATTGATTTTGTCATTTGGGAGTTGTAGTTGCTGGGATTTATAGTTCACCTACAATCAAAGAGCATTCTGAACCCAATCAACAATGGAATTGAACCACATATGAGACACAGAAAATACTGGAAGTGTTTGGTGGGTATTGACCTTGAATTTGAGAGTTGTAGTTCACCTACAACCAGAGAGCACTATGTACTCAAACAATGATGGATCTGGATCAAACTTGGCACGGATACTCAATATGCTCAAATGTGAACACTGGTGGAGTTTGGGGGAAATAGACCTTGACATTTGGGAGTTGTATTTGCTGGGATGTATAGTTCAGCTACAATCAAAGAGCATTCTGAACCCTACCAATGATAGAATTGAGCCAAACTTCCCACACAGGACCTCCATGAACAAAAGAAAATACTGTTTTCTGATTGTCTCTGGCGACCCCTTTGACACCCCCTCGTGACCCCCTCAGGGTTGAGAACCACTACTCTAGAACATGGCCATATAGCCCGAAAAAAACCTACAACAACTCAAAAATGACATTGCTGATCCTAACATACCAGTGCAACTGTACTAAGGAATGGAAGACAAGATTAGATCAATGGAGAGAGAAAAAAGAATCTGAAAGTTTCAAAAAAACATCCTGTTATTTGAGAAACAGCCCCCCATGGAAAGTTTATTTCCTGAGCTGATTTAAGAAGTTTTTCAAGGCCTAATTTCTTACATACGGATCAACCCCGGGCTCGTTCTTTATTGCCTTTCGAACACGTTTCATTTCCACGGCTCCCGAAAGGGTGGGCGGTTGACTTCAATAATTTGTTAGGCTTTAAAATCACGCTGTAAAAACTGCCACAAGTTACCAGGGAGGTGAGTAAATTATATATATATATATATATATATATATATATATGCTGTTGGGAGAGCAGAAACGTGGGTTTCTCCCTCCTCCCGGTGCCCCAGTTTTCCTGAAAAGCTTGTGCTGCAGTTGAGGTGGAATTTAACTGTGTTTATTTGCTATGAAGTCAATTTCGACTTTAGGCGAGATATAGAAAAGCACTAATAAGGCAAGGTATAAGAAATCACAATATTTTTTTAACCTGAAAGACAACCTCTATGGTCCATTGCTGGATGATGACTTCATGAGAAAAAGTCCACCAAGGTACAGACTAGAGTTGAAGCCACTCCTCATAGGGCTTGTTCTCCAGACCCTGGATCCCTTGAGTCACCCACGTCTGGACAACTTCCAGCTTAGAGTCAACATCTCCCTTCAGTTGTGGTGCCCAGAATTGGACCCAGTGGGATTCCAGGTAAAGTACTGGGCCCAGGACTTCATGGCACCCAAATAGTCACTTCTCTCCAGGGTGAAGAAGAGGAACCATTGAATGGTACTGGACCCAGGACCGAATCCTCTTCATGGCACCCAAATAGTCACTTCTCTCCAGGATGAAGAAGAGGAACCATTGTATGGTACTGGACCCAGGACTGAACCCTCTTCATGGCACCCAAATAGTCACTTCTCTCCAGGATGAAGAAGAGGAACCATTGGGCGGTACTGGACCCAGGACTGAATCCTCTTCATGGCACCCAAATAGTCTCTTCTTTCCAGGATGAAGAAGAGGAACCATTGGGCGGTACTGGGACTAGGACTGGACCCTCTTCACGGCACCCAAATAGTCACTTCTTTCCAGGATGAAGAAGAGACACGGATTATCTGGATCCGGCAAAGTCTGGTTTCAGACCGGGACATGGAACTGAGACAGTCTTGGTCGCCTTAGTGGATGATCTTCGCCGGGAGCTGGACAGGGGGAGTGTGTCCCTGTTGGTGCTGCTGGACCTCTCAGCGGCCTTCGATACCGTCGACCACGGTATCCTTCTGGGGCGCCTTGCGGGGATGGGTCTCGGGGGCACTGTTTTACAGTGGCTCCGGTCATTCCTGGAGGGTCGCTCCCAGAAGGTGTTATTGGGAGACACCTGTTCAATCTCACAACCCTTGTCATGTGGGGTTCCTCAGCTCAATACTGTCCCCGATGCTGTTTAATATCTACATGAAGCCGCTGGGTGAGATCATCCGGAGTTTCGGGGTGCGGTGTCATCTGTACGCAGATGATGTCCAACTCTGTCACTCCTTCCCACCTGCTACTAAGGGGGCTGTCGAGGTCCTGAACCGGTGCCTGGCCGCTGTGACGGTCTGGATGAGGGCGAACAAATTGAAATTGAATCCAGACAAGACAGAGGTACTCCTGGTCAGTCGCAAGGCCGAACAGGGCATAGGGTTACAGCCTGTGTTGGATGGGGTCGCACTCCCCCTGAAGATGCAGGTTCGCAGCTTGGGAGTGATCCTGGACTCATCGCTGAGCCTGGAACCCCAGGTTTCGGCGGTGACCAGTGGAGCATTTGCACAGCTTAGGCTCGTGCGCCAGCTGCGCCCGTACCTTGGGAAGTCTGACTTGGCCACGGTAGTCCACACCCTGGTTACATCCCGTTTAGACTACTGCAATGCTCTCTACGTGGGGTTGCCTTTGAAGATGGCCCGGAAGCTCCAACTGGTCCAACGTGCGGCAGCCATGATACTAACAGGAGCGGGATGCAGGGAGCATACAACCCCCCTGCTGTACCAGCTCCACTGGCTGCCGATCTGCTACCAGGCTCAATTCAAGGTGCTGGCATTGGCCTATAAAGCCCTAAACGGGTCTGGCCCAAGATACTTAACTACCGCCTATGAGCCCACGAGGACTTTGAGATCTTCCGGGGAGGCCCTGCTCTCGATCCCGCCTGCGTCACAGGCACGGCTGGCGGGGACGAGAGATAGGGCCTTCTCGGTGGTGGCTCCTCGGCTGTGGAACACCCTTCCCGTGGACATCAGGCTAGCTCCCTCCCTGTTGATATTCCGCAGGAAGTTAAAGACCTGGCTGTTTAAGAAGGCATTTGAACAAGAAGTGCAATGATTGGTAATTTGACCATAGGATTGGAACAACGGAAATGATACCGGATTGTGGGTTTGACGATGAGACGACTCGGAATGGCTCTTGTAGTAATTTTGATGTTTTTGATGAGATGTTTTTGATAATGATGAATTGTGGATTATTTTACACTATGTTTGGTATTTTGCACCTGTTTTTCTATGTTGTACACCGCAGTGAGTCGCCCCT